TAATAGAGCGCCGAAGGCGCGACCATAGCGAGTTTGTTTGCCCTTCGGGCAAACAATCTCGCTAGTATTTCCATATTTCTCGACTTGAGGGCCAAAATCAGCAAATGATCCCACTTTGCAGTCAGTCATTCGCTCCCTCACCATTCTTTTCCCATTTCTAAGTCTGTTACGAGTGACCTGTCCAGAAATTCAAGCCTGTGTAACTAGCATAGGTTTTTTCCCTGCGATGTGGCGTTCAAATCTTATCGGCAGTGTTCAAGTAGAATTTGAAAATCTGCTTGGAAAGCTTATGTGTGCGTACGTGTGTTCATGGACATATCCTACTTTAAACTCGAATTGCCGAAGAACGAGAGAGAAGAACGAGAAGAAAATGCCATGATATTTGAAAGTCGACCTATTAGTGATGACCAAGATTTCTCCAATATTACATGAAACTAATGTGTTTTCTTTTACTCTGATCTTTAAAAATTGAAAATTGCTTTTTTGAGAAGTCATTCAAACAAGTTTTTTTTTTCCCGCATGCCTCCTTCCTCACAAACTACAGCAGGTTTCTTACTCACAGCATGTGACAATACCGTGTAAGATTCAGACGAGACTTCAATCGCCTTTAAAGGTGTTAGGGTCGCTAAATTTTGGGGATATTTCATTGTTCATGTTAAGAACGATGAATGTCGTTCGTTCCCCGATTCGAATAAACTTTCTGAGCCAACCACTGACTGCAAAGTGACATTCGTTATCTCCCTGCCATTCAGAGAGTCGTCTCAATCTACCTATCAGAGGTAGACGTGTCCTGATGGGGACGTGTCCTGATGAGGGTGTTGTCAAGGCTCAGTTGGGGGCGATTTTTCCTTTAAAAACGCACGACTTTGAATAAACATTCCAATGGAATACGTGCAGGTATCGAACCAATCGAGACGTCCCAGAAATCCAGAGGCTCTTCCCTATTGATATACTCTATTAGGGAACATTTGCCGATTTTGGCCCTCAAGTCGAGAATCACGGAAATACAGCAAACGGAGTATCGTTTTTGGCCCATATTTCGAGTACTTTTTGGTAGCCTCTGAAATGGTAGCACAAGGCTCATGTGAATTGGTTCACGGATCGACCGAGAGGTCCTCTAAATCGCCACGATGTTTTCCTCTGCTGTGGATCTGTCGCCAGAATGACGCTTGGAAATATATTTTTTTTTTAATTCGACTACTCTCAGCAATTTGGTCACTTAATCTTTTATCTCTGGAGTCTGCTTGAATTATAGCTTGCATTCGAAAGTATATTGTCTTTGTTTTCTGAAGACGTTACTTTCAGGTTCCTCTGGTGTAGGATTTTTAAGTCGTAGTCGTTTAATTGGAGTCCTCGAATGGTCATCTAGCGGTAAATTTGGCAGTGGTTTTTGTTTATACAAAGGGTCCGTGGTGCCTGTGCCATTCCTCTTTGTCCTTCCATAGAGACCCCCTAGAAAAATTAATTTTCAGATTTTGCCCCAGACAGTAGGTTTTTCCTCCCATACTTGCTAAAAATCGCATGTTTTCAGACACAACTGGGATGTATCGATGTGAAGGACTCATTCGATGTCTTGGTGAGGAAGATGACATCTCTATTCCTCATTGCGCTCCTTTAAAATCAAATATTGTGTTGTGTCATTTCCTCTTCCAGACGCAATTGGATATGAGCTGAGACACGAATTATTTGAGACCTTTAGTGAGAAGAAAAGTCTCCCTTTTCCTCGAACATGCTCCATGTCAAGTATATAAATGTGTTTCTTTTTCCACATCTAGCGAAGCCAAAGCAAATACAAAAATTAATAGACAGCTTTGGTGAGGAAGACAACGTTTTCCCCTCCCAGCAACGTGTTCCACGTGAATCAATTTCATGAAAATCTATTTTCCTTTTTAGACACCCTTGGCTCATGCCAGACTGAGGAGCTGATTCGAATTCATAGTGAGTAGAGCGACGTACCCCTGTACACCACCATAATTAACCTCAACCAATGTCAAATCATGTTGTCACCTTTTAGACACACTTGGGACGCGTGAAACTAAATTGCTCATCGGAAATCTGAGTGAGACTGTTGACGCTTCCGTTTTCCCTAGGTATGTTTAAATAAGGCAATTTGATCAAAGTAACTTTTTTCCCTTCAGGCAACCTAGGGGTTGAGAAGGGACGCCAGTTAATCGAGAGCATTGGTAAGGAAGATCACGTCTCGCCATCCATCATGCTCCATCTTGAACAGTTTTTAACCTTGAAAATTCACGCTTCCAGACACACTGTGGCCAAAGCGTAGACGCGAAATAATCGAGAGCTTTAGTGAGGAAATATAAAATTCCCTTTGTCTTTCACTATGCTCCGGTTGAACAATCTAAACAAAATCACTCTTTGCAGACACCCTTGAGGCAGTGCAGAAACGCAGATTAATCGAAAGCTTTGGTGAGAAACATGAATAATATGCCATCCGTCACGAAGCTCTACATCTGCCAATGATATAAAATACAGTTTCCTCTTCCAGACATACTTCTACCGCACCAGTCTGAGGCATTGATTCGATGTCTTGGTGAGGAAGACGTCTCCTATTCCCTTCATTGGCATGCTTCAGTATGAAAAAGTATTTATTCCCTTCCAGACACAGCACGACCAAGGCAGAGAAGCAAACTTATTAATAGCTTCGGTTAGGAAAACAACGTATCCACTATCCGTCACTGTCCAACACCTCATGCAATGATAGTAAAATATTATTTGCCGTTCCAGACGCTCTTGGGTCGCATCAAGCTAAGGTGCTGATTCGAGTTTCTGGTGAGGAGGACGAGGCATTCACCGTCATTACTATGCCCCTTCGGAAGTAATTCCATTTAAATACTCCTTTGTCTTACATAGGCACACTTGGGCCAAAGATGACTTACAAGCTGATTCGAAGTTTGGGTGAGGAAGTCCGGCATAAGGCAGTAAAACACCCTTATTCACCTAAGGCAATTGTATACGTGTCTCTTTCTCATTTCCAGACAGACTTGAAGCAGGGCAGAGGCACGGATTTATTCAGAGCCTTGGTAAGAATGAGGACGTCTCACCCGTCCATCATCACGCTCCTCCATATGCAGTGAAATTAAAATGTACTTTCCTTTCCTAGACCAGCTTAGATCACAAGAGAAGCGCAATTTAATCAAAAACCTTGGTGAGAAAGACCTTGTCTCCCAGGTCTATGACCATGCTGTATCGGAAATAATTATTCGAATATATATATTCCTTTTAAGATTCATATGGACCACAACAGATACAAAGATTGATCGAGAGCTTTGGTGAGAAAGACGAAATTTCATCAGTCTCTCACGTTTCTGGCACTAGAGTTCTTATGAATGAAAATCGATATTACTGTTCCAGATACGCTTGAGACGGAGCAGAGACAAGAACTAATAAAGGGCTTTGGTGAGGAAGACCCAATGCATCACCTAGCTTACCTCCAGCAGCCATATCAATACTGTACCTAGGTATATATTTTCTCCTTCCAGACGCACTTCGGCCAAGTGAGCGTCGTGCATCCCTAGAAAGTCTTGGTGAGGAAAGGGACATTCCATCGCATTCCACCTATCCCCAACCTAAAGCTTCTATACATATATTCTTTCCTTTTCCAGATGCCCTTGATCCTGAGCAGAGAAGCAAACTAATCGAGCGCCTAGGTTATTAATATGATACTCCCCTGTCATCACCATGCTCAACACATGCAACTTTATGAAATCCTACGAAATCTATTGTCTCCTTTCTAGACACACCTATGCGTAAGCAGAGACGCAGATTCATTGAGAGCTTAGGTGAGTGTTTTGAAGATCTCGACGGCCTGTTTCAGCCCATGGGTTTCAGCTGCACTACAGTGCAAATATATTAACAGCCAACCAGGACCATCCAGCCCTCCCGAATAAAGGGAATATTACCAGCAATGAAGCAATCTCAGGCACGCGCAATGGACATGCAAGCACACGCAACGGAGATCAATCATACGCTAAACCTACCGCAGGCGGGGGAAACAGGGGGAGGCTCCCAAGCTGTAGTAAAATCTACCCAGCCCATCACCGTCAACAGGTTGCCGCTATGAATGATCAGGCGGACTGTCCAGATAAGACTCGGACAAGCGGTGACTAGTGTGCAGAAACTATTTTGCTCGGTGTGTGTGTGGAAGGGGGAGTGTAGACGGAGCGTGCGAAAGAGAACCTACCGCAGGAATAGACGTGGATTTAACATGACGGGAGTAGAGGATACTGACCCTCCTTTCACTTTGTCAATGCAGTCTCAAGCTCTGTCTCTTTAGGTTATGGGCACTATTCCCTAGCAAATAATTCTTATTAAAAAACTCTTTCTATGCAAAGGGGAGAACATTCCTAAATACAGCTACGTGGCTGGTGTGACTCAAATCATTCAACTTCCCGAACATTAGTCATGAGCATTGAAACGTAACTTGTCCTAATGGAAGGGATTACACGGCGTAGGAGGCGGCGTATCTCGTCACACAAGGAATCATAAATTCTTAGACCTGGAGGATGAATTTGAGGAAAATTATGAGTACAACTACATACCATTGGGAGACAATCCCATCCACCTGATAAAGATTTTGACAATATGTTAACATCCCCCCATTACATCATCATATTCCAAGTCAGACATTATCTAATTATACGAGGTATATATATACTGTATACAGGCTGCCCCAGCTTCGTTTTCGAAATGCGTTAATTCAGAGGGGGAATTGATATATATGTCGTATCCAAGTTGACCTTTCCGTGCAACTTGAACCCGTCCAATTTTCCTTTGCATGTTAACTTGCATGCATTCTTTCTTATGCAACTTAACTCACACGATGAACTTTTGTGAAAGTTCAGGAGGGATATCTAGACCCCTAATGATATACAATTAGACTTTTTTTTAAATCGAGAATAAGACTTACATGTATTGCTCCTGGCCTTGGAAAAACGATAAAGGAGGTCTCTTCATCCTTTCGCTCTTATTGACAGTCTTATTCTTTCACCTTGTTCAGTGCGATACAGGTGAGAGTGAACGTTCTCGTTCTTCAACAGTTCTAGTAGTTTTCGTCTGATTCAAATCCGTGATAATTGGCATGAATTTCAATGATTATCTGTTGAAGCTCTAAGAAAGACCAACTCTCCAACACAGTGTTCCCGGATGGGGGGGCCAAACCCCATCCAAGCGATATCAAGGGGAAAAATTATCTCAAAGGGGGCACCGGACAAAGTCACAGGGGCACCAGGGGGACAAATACGCCACTGCGAACGATGCATCTAAAAAAAATAGTGCAAATGCGTAGACAATAATGCCCAGTGAAACTCTTGATGCCACGGGTCATGGACGTGTTCCAACAAATGAACCAAAAAGGCGTACTTAACAAAAGGCTTGAATGCAGACATCGACAAAGTTGTTGCAGATTATTTAACTATGGAGAATTTGACATCAGGAAGCAGTTACTCCATTTATTCATTAGGGTGATCAAACTAATTTAAATCATGATGTTTGACACCCTGGCTCGAAAATGAAGCAAGTACTGGTGGCCGAAGGCATAGATCATTATTCTGGCCGAGATGAAGTGCTTCTCTGAACTTGCACGAAAATGTGCAATCGGAGTTAACATGAAAAAAGGTTTGGCCGTGCAAGTTCAACTTGCACGATGAATTACCATGCAAGTTTAACTTGCACGGCAGGGTTAACTTGCATGCGACATATATAGGGTGGTTTTAAAAAACGCTCTACCTTCTTCTATGGTAGAAACTGTTTCAAAAATTCAGCAAAAAAAATACATTGAATAGGCTATCGATATTTGACTGTCACAAGGTGTTGAAATTCTTGTCAGCTTTTTTTCAGCACTCTACTCTAAATTGTGCAATGCCAATTTAGAGGTAAATTAAAGGTGCGTAGAGGTGGAGCACTTCACCTCAAATGAGGTGACGACGTGTGCTCGATCGTCTCAGGATTCAGTGAATTTTTCTACTTTAACTTTTCAAATGACAATTGGATGCAATTGATACTTGACTAACAGGTTCATGACGCTAAGAGGTTTTTTTTCACTTCCGAAAAATGGCGCTGTATCCCGATAGAGGGCGCTGTCGTTGACCCAATGACCAAGGGTGATTACAAGAAACGCTCCACTGTTTTAGAAAGGAGAAAGTATGATTTGTGCATTGGAGGAAAAAGTATAAGATGGATAATATTTTGATATCGGACGTATGGGAGGTGTTGAAAAGATTGATATTTTTCAGAACAATTCCTTGAACTGTGCATGGGGCACATAAGCACGAATCATTCGTTCTCCCCTTCGAGAACAGCGGAGCTTTTAGTAATCATCCTCGGTCACGGGGTCAACAACAGCGCCCTCTCTCGGGATACAGCGTCATCTTGCGGAAAGGAAAAAACCACTTAGTCTCGTGAACTTTTCTGTCAAGAATCAATTGGATATAATTTTCCTTTGAAAAGTTTAAGTTGAAAAAGTCACTGAATTCTGAGACGATCGAGCACAGGTTATCACCTCACTTGAGGTGGAATGCTCCACCTCTAAGCACCTATAATTCACCCCTAAATTGAATAAAATAATTGGAACTGAAAAAAAGTTGGCTCGCTTTTTTCAAGTTTCAACACCTCGGAACAGTCAATTATCGATAGCCTATCCAAAGGAATTTTTTCCGCTGAATTTATGAAACTGTGTTTTTCCCATAGAAAACGGTAGAGCGTTTTTTATTTATTTAACAACCCTATATATACTTCCTCTGACGCGTGGTTCTTCGGCACAAAGTCAATTTTTGCTTTGGGAAATAAGGGGTCATTCCGCTGGCGTTTAATGATGCCCTTTGACTGTGTCGTAGAGATTTGCATAAAACATCTTTCAATGTAAGGTTACTTACACAAAATGGAATTCCCTCCGTGTTTCTTGAAAGGATCCCACGTTTCCAAAGGAACAGTCTCAGATATCATCATTTGTAATGTAAAGAGGTTAGAAACGTAGAAATTCGTGATATTCAGGCATAAAGCGTAACGCAGAAGCTTCTGTTTAAGGTAGGGCTGTACCGATGGCCACCTTTTGCCGGTGGGCCGATGGCCGATTTTCATCGCATAACCATCGGCCGGTGCCGGTGCCGATGGTCGTCTGGAAATTGTCAAAGACAAAGACCATATTTGGTACTGTCGGTCTGTGTCCGTCAGTTGCTAACTTGTTACATATTGCTGCTATTAGCAGCGTTTAACGACAATGATCTCGCAAAAGCATTACATAAAGGGTGGTGTAAAGATTTCCCTTTTTACCGCTATTTTCCACCATTAGTTTCTAGAAAAGGGCTGAAATATAACCAGATCAATATTTCTCGGATTCACTTGTTCACTCAATTTTTTGCGAGTTTGTTCGCACGAAGGGCAAACAAACTCGCTAGTATGAATATGTATTACCTTTCTAGAGACGCTCCGGCCAAAAGAATCTGAAGCACTACTTCAAAGCCTATGTGAGAAAGATTACGTCTCCTTTGTCCACCATCACGCCCTACTTCAAACAATTATATTAAAATGTTTCCCCACTCCCCAGATACGCTTGGGTCAACTGGAACTCATGCATTCCTTCTAAGTTTAGGTGAGAAACAAGAAGGCTCCCTTGTCCATTGCGATGCTCCAGTTAAAGGAATTATATCAAAATCCGTTTTCCTATTCTAGAGACACTTCAACGACCACAGAGACGAAGATTGATCGAGAACTTTGGTTAAGAAACCGAAACCATCCATCAGCATGCGACATCTAAAGCAATTGAATAAATATATATACGTACATATTTTCTTTCTAGACACGCTTGAACCACGTAGAACTCGTGCAATATTTCAAAGTCTCGGTGAGGAAAACGTCTCTCTCGTACTTTACCAATTTTCACCTGAAGTTATTACCTATTGAATATATTATTCCTTTTCCAGACACGCTTGGGCCAAGGCAGAGACGCAGCTTCATCGATAGCCTTGGTTGAGGAAAACTTCATCCTTCCCATGTTTCTGCTCCACCTCAGGCAATAAACTGAAAATTTTCCCGCTTTCAGACTCACTTGGGGAGGGGCAGAGACGCCAATTGATCGAGAGCTTTGGTTAGGACAATGGCGCCTCACCCTCTTTATCATTATCCTTCACCTCAAGTACATTTGTCGCAATCATTCCTGTTTTAGACACAATTGGACCAGCGCAGAGACACAGATTGATCGGGAGCTTTGGTGAGGAATAAAATATATCACCTTTTCATCGCGATCATAATCATGTCAATATGTATTATCACCTTCTAGACAGGCTAAGGCCAGAGCAGAGACGCAGAATAATGGAGAGCTTTGGAGAAGCAGATGACGTTTCCCTCTTCCATCACCGTGCTACGTCTCATGGAGGTAAAATTACATCAAATTCTGACACCAGCATTAAAGACTATCATCCCTTACAAGATCTGTCTTCAATGCTGACGTACTACCAACGTTTTCTAATATTACAATAGAAATGCGGTAAAATCAATGCCATGCAGTAATTTGGAAGCTATTTTTATCTCCTTTTTGACAAACATTCATGATGTAAGTATTGACTGCCAACACCTATGCATCCACCTTTTTCAAATATGATGAAGTGCTGTGTTTTGGTCATACATTGGGTGATTTTTTGCA